GCCTCCTGGAAGCTCCAAGCATGCAAAAAGTGACCTTTACAAATCTGAAGGCGTCTTTATTTTTCCTCTTTCCCCTTTTCAGTGTCCAAAGCACTTGGCAGAGCAGCTCCTTTTTTGTTGTAGTTGTTGTTGTTGTTTTCTTTCTTTCTTTCTGGATCTGGTTCTTTGGACAAACATTTAAGCTGAACTGTTTTCTCTGCTGTGGAAATATCCACCTGGAGAGCAGAGCTGGGCTGTGTTTGAGGTGGAGCTCCCTGCTGTTTTGATGTGCTGATGGAATATTTTAAAAGGGAAGCTTCAGCATTTGCTAATTAGCTAAGAAGGTTTGGCTTTCATTACTGAGACATGAAGGGAGGAGGGGAAAGGAAAAAAAAAAAAGGCAGGACAATCTTGTTGAGAGGCCAGCAGGCAGAAGGAAAGCTATAATTGTGCACACAGTTGAAAGGATTATTGTTTCTGACACTGGGAATCTTTTACTTCTTGGCTTTGCCAAACCCAGGCTCTGCTGGGAGCCCCTCGAGCATCCCAGGAGGGCAGGGGTAGGAGCTGGTTTTGGTTTTGCCTCTGGTTGAGGAACATCTAGTGAAGCAGCCAGAGCAGAGGGCTCTGGAGCAGCTCTGGTGCCCACACTGGGCCTCTTTGGGGTCTGCCTTCTGTGGAGGGGGCTGCAGGGTGGATCATAGGACTATGGAATGGGTTGGAAGGACCTTAAAGATCATCTAGATCCAAACCCCCTGCATGGGCAGGGACACCTCCCACCAGCCCAGGCTGCTCCAAGCCCCATCCAACCTGCCCTTCAACACTGCCAGGGATGGGGCAGCCACAGCTTCCCTGGGCAACCTGGGCCAGGCTCTCACCACCCCCACAGTGGATAATTTCTTCCTTCTGTCCAACCTAAATCTTCCTCTTCCAGTTTTAATCCATCCCCCTTGTCCCACCCCTCCCTGCCCTTGTCCAAAATCCCTCCCCAGCTTTCCTGGAGCCCCTTCAGGTCCTGGATTCACACAGGGATCCTGTTTTACCTCTTTTGTAGCCAAGCAGTCTTCAAGTCACTCTCTTCCTTGCTTTTGCTTTGTCCTTTCAGCTTCCAGGGAACACAGCTCATCCCACTGGATCTAAAACACAGAATCATGGAATGGTTTGGGTTGGAAGGACCTTAAAGATCATCTAATTCCAACCCCCTGCATGGGCAGGGACATCTCTCACCAGCCCAGGTTGCTCCAAGCCCTATCCAACCTGCCCTTGAACACCTCCAGGGATGGAGCAGCCACTTCCTTGGTTCCAGCACTTCCATGGGAGACCTTGGTGACTTGCAGTGACACTGTCACATCTGTGCTCTTTCTTTTCTCCCCTGTAGGTGTCTTTGGTGGCCGCGGCAGAGGAATCCCAGGCAGTGGAAGAGGCCAGCAGGAAAAAAAGCCAGGCAGACAAGCAGCAAAACAGTGAGAGGGGCTGGCTGGGCCCTGGCTGGGGGGGACAGTGCCACCACCCCGTGTGGGTTTTATCACCTCAGGATTTGCCACCTGTTCAAAAAAGTTCCCTTTTTGCTCCTCCATCAGCTGCTCCGTGCTCGAATCATGTCGTTTTGGAAACCCCCCCCCAAGTGAAGCTGGGAAAGGGGAGTTCATTCACTCTTGATAGTCAGCAAAGTCATTGGAAAGATTGGGAAAAAAATAATCATTCATGGTGAAGGACCTAATTTCTGCCTTCTCCTGAGAGGGAGGGCACTGCTTAATGGTTTCATTTCCAAGATTGGTGTAAGAAGGAAGGCAAAAGCTTTCTGGATTGTTTGGAATATTCTTATTTTATTTTTGAATACTTGAAAACTTGTTGCATTTGTAACAGATACGAGTGTTTTGGTTAAAAAAATGCTGAACTTGAGGATATTGTGTCTTTACAGGAGCAGCCTTAAGGGTTTGGGGTTTTTTTTTTAAAAGACAACAAAGTTTGAAGCTGTTGCTTTTCTTTCTGGCTGGTCAGTTGTGTCTCCTGGGACTTCAGGGAGAACTTGGGATGAATGTTGCATTTCCAAGGGTTGTGTCCAAGCTCTGTGATAAAGGAGGGTTTCCCAATTAGCACATTACTAATTTGACTTCAGATTGGAAGTTTCCTTTAAAGGAAAGGCTTTTCTTTGTTTTCTGGCAGGAGCTGCTGTGCCCCTTGACTCTCCATGAGCCTAAAAAGCAGCCAAGCTGTTGAATTGATTTATTTCCCCCCCCCTTTCCCACTTTGAAAACTCTCTCCCTTGTGCCAGCAACATGAAATCCCAAACTCCCAAGAAGATTTCCCAAGCTCATTTCTCCTGGAACCTGATGATTGACTTCACTGTACTTGTAATTTCCTTTTCTAGTCATTAATTATCTTCCCTTGTGGACACAGACCAGCCTTTGCCTCCTGTAGCTTCAAGCTCCTGGGAATTCCCACCTTGGGTTGCTCCAGTCTTCCTTCCATCCTGTGAGGTGCAGGGTCCCATGAGCAAAATGCACCCACAAAATATCCCAAATGAAGTGTCTGCTTTGGGGCAGAGGGGGGGAGAAAGTGGCAGTGGATGTGGCTCGACCCCCTGAACTAATGAAACAGTTGAATTTGAGGGGAAAAACTGTGGCTTGTTTTGAACAGTTTGGTTGGGTTGTTGTGTTGGTTTTGGGTTTGTTTTTTTTTTGCAACTGATTCCCATGTTGAAGGCTGCTCTGCCATCCCCACTGTCATGAGAAAACGAGTCCAGAACATGCTTTTATAGATACTTATTTTTTTAATGTTTCTACAACAGTGGGGAGTAGGAATAAATCACCCACCTGTACAAATTGCCTCCCTCCCTCTCTCTGCTGTGACACTGAGCCCTGCCCGACCCTGCTCCAGCCCTGGCACAACCAAGAATTCCCCACATGGGGTAAATTTGGGTTTCCAACAGCAACCACAGGTTCTCCACCACCCCTTTTCCAGCATGATCCAGCAGCTCCATCCCCATCCCAGCCAAGCTGGCTGCTGCCAAGGAGCCAAATCCCAGCAGTGGGAACAGGGCACCCGTGTCCTCCCTCCTGGAAATTTGGTCTCAACACCCCTGTGGCATTTTCACAAAGCCCTGGGCTGAGTCCTGTGTCAGACTTTCCTCTTCCCAACCTGCTCCCTCCCTTCCGTGTCCCTCCAGCTGCAGAAACTCCACATGTTGGGGCTGGTGGAAAAGGAAACTGCTCCAGTGGTGTCTGGATTTCGGGTCTGTTCCAACCAGATAAATCTTCACCACAACAATGGGACCTTTGGCTTCAGCTCAGGGTAGAGTCCTCCAAGTGCCTCTTATCTCCTGGCAACGCTGGCCTTGGAGCTCATTAAGTTCTTAGATTTAATTACAACCAGGGGCTTTCACAGCCTTCCCTGTTTGCCCTCCCCCTGTTCCTTTTTCCACCTTCTGCTTTGGCCTGGCACACTTTGCAGCAGGTTCGTGGAATGGTTTGGGTTGGAAGGGACCTTAAAGATCATCAGGTTCCAACCTCCCTGCTGTGAGCAGGGACACCTGCAGCAGGTTGGGAGGACCCCAACTCCAGGGGTGGCATCGAGGTGACACTCACTGGTGGTTTCGGGTCTTTCTGGCCCAAAAAACCCCCTGACAGTTTGGGGCTGGTGTGTGGGGAAGCAAGCTGAAAATAAAAACCCCAACAAAACCCAACTAAGAGCAGGGAGGAGTGAGATAAAAGCAACAACCAGAGAGGAGGAAAGAGGCTTGAGCTTTGCTGCCGGCGTGGGTGGGAGCCAACGCGTCCCGGCCGGAAAGACGGGCTGGGGCAGGGGAAGGGGGGGGGAAGACCCAGCAAAAAGCCACCCTGGAAACCCTCCTGGCTCCTTTCCCCTGATGTTTTTGGGGTGGCCGGGCTGGTGGCAGCTGCAGGGCCGTGTCACTGGCACCTTGGCACGGCCACCGTGAGTCACAACTGGGTGCTTGGCCGGGGAGGAGGCAGCACAGGAATAGTTACCCAGCAGCCTGCGCCGCGGAGGGAGTGGCTGCCCAAATACTTCAGAGCTGTGCTAAGCGACTAAAAATACACGTCAGGCCCTCCTCCTCTTCCTCCTTTTTCCTTTTTAAATGTGTTTTCTTTCTTTCTTTCTCTCTGGTTGTTTTTTTTTTTTTCTTCATTTAATTCTTGGGTTGGATTGTCGGAGGCCCCGCGGGGATCGGCAGCAACCGGTGACTTCTTGTTTTCCCGGCTCAGTTCCTCTCTCCCTCCCCGTGGTGATGACTAAGAGGTGGTTCCTCCAGTGCCCGTGATGCAAATCCCGGGGTGCCAGATGCTCTCCTGCTTGGTCCCTTTGGTTTGGTTTTGGGGCTCAGCGTGGTGGGAGGGCAGGAGGATGCGGGTGCATCTTCGTCGGCCGTCTTGGTTTGGATGCAGTTGGTGCTGGGGCAGCTTGGATCCTGGTGGGAGCAGGATCAGGAATTGCTGTCACGGAGCTGGTCACACACTGGGAATGGTCCTACTGGGGGTGGACTAATGGAAGGGGTTTTGTGGGGACCTGCCGTGCTGGGAGGCTGCCCCGGTGAACGTGGAGGCTCGTGGTGTGGTTGGTGGTGGCACCGTGGGCTCATCCCAAATCCTGGCCGGCTGCTCCGGGGTAAATATATCCCAGCTGGCAGGTGCTGCTGCTCAGCGTGACTCAGGGGGTGCCCGACACCTCCAGGAATAGCAGCTCCCGCCACCAGCCCCCACCCG